CCCCGTGGACAGTGGCCGCTGGCCTGGAACTTGCAGGAGCCGCGATTGGGACCGATGGGGGCACAGACATGTAGGGCTCCCCTGCCACCAAGGTGAGGCGGATTCCAGGGAGGGAGCTGGCCGCCGGCGGGTTCAGATCCAGCTGCACCGGGTGCGAGGAGGAAGGCCTCACTGAGGTGGACACACAGGCAGAAAGCGACTGGACAAGGGAGGCCATTAATGGGTGACGAAGTGCCGCCACCCTGTCCCTGTGACCCTACACGAGCTCTGGGCACCCTCTTTCTGTATGTCTGCAACAAGCCGATGTGCAAACCCCACGGAACAGGACTGGCCTGCCCCTCTGTGCTGCTGGAAAGAAGCCAGGGGCCGAGTGGCCAAGGCACAGTCATTAGCGACGCTAAGTAAAAGCGTCTGATGGAGAGGATGCTGTGAAGGGCTCGCTGAGGCGGGCGCGCTACCTGGACAAGCCCACTTGCCATGCGACGTGAGTGCCCACGGGAGAAAGGAGCCGCTGCCTCCCGACCCGGACTCCAGCGCCAAGCAGGACGCAGCTGGCCGGGGAGCACCGTGGACGCGGAGGAACCAAGGCCATAAAGTTCAGCAACGCCCCCTCCTTCTGCCAAAGCCCGTGCACGCACGGCGCGGTGCACACCACTCGGGAAAGGGGGCAGCCTCCCTAACCCCGAACTCGGCCGCCATCAGGCCTTCCTCCTGCCGGTTATTCATGTGATAAGCACAAACTGAACGTGTGAATAGTAATAGTTGTGCCTCTCCCTGAAACCTGAAGTGTGTTTGAGGATGTTTTTATGTCTCTGAATGAGCGTCTGTGTACCCAGCAGAAGCATGCACAATCAGTCATTCCCCCACGTGAAGGCCACCGCATGGGGGACCAAGGAGGCAGGTCTGGGGACTTCCCCCCGAATCACAGGCTAAGCCAGGAGGCCTCCGATGCCGACGGGGAAGACTTCAGCGGAAGCAATCTTCCTAAGACCCACGAGCGAACACTCTATTTTTCTCCCGTTCCTCATTCCTTACTTTCTTGCTCTAGTCCCTAAATTCTGATTTAAATAGTAATATGTCCCATGTTCTTATTGTCGCTGTTTTCACACTCCACTGTGATTGATTTGTCTCTTGTGAACCTTTGAGCATCTCTGTGTTTCATTATTTTTTGTCTTCTGTGGCTGACCACACAACATTGAAACACAGTTTTGCTTTATTTCAATGAATGCTTCTTGAATGTTTCCTCATATTTTTAAAAGTTTCCAAAACATTATTGTAATGTCTGTAGAATATTTTATTGAGGAGGTCACCTAAATTTATTCAACTAGATGCCATGGTAGGAGTTTTAGTTTTTTTGTTTTGTTTTGTTTTGTTTTGTTTTGTCACTTTAAATAGTCTTGTGATGAAAACCCCTGTATATAAAGTCTTTGTCCACATTTATTACTGTTTCTTTAGGCGTGGAATTTTCTAACCAAAGGATAAGATCCTTTCTTGGGCTGTTTATCAGCACTGCCAAAGTGCTGTCTAGGGCTGTCCCCTAACGTGGTTGGGGTATCAGGAAGACCGGAAGCTTAGGGCCGGGTTTGCAGTCCGGACCTGCCACCAGCCCTGTGACCTTGGGCACGGTGTTCACCTCTCCTGGCTTCAGCCCGCCTGTCCGTCCAGTGGGCCTGTAGTGAGCCCTGCCCAGGGCCCTGGCCGTGAGGACGAAGGAGGTGACCACGGAAATGCTGACTGCAGCAACATGCTCGGGGTGAGCTGTGAACGCGACCTTCTGCCCGGAGGTGGGACTCTGCCTATTTCTACGTTCTCTCCCAAACTCTGGCTCAGTTCTGTGTGAACATCATCAACTGGATATGTGAAAGAAGACAGCTTGCCGTTTTAAATTCTGCGACAAAATACAGCTTTCAAGCCTTCAAAGACATGCGAAATATTTCAAGCAAAGGGCTCTTTGATGAAGACTTTTGCCTCCAACCTTGTCCCTCATGAGTGCCAAAGAGCCAGGTCAGCTCCCACCTTCTTCGTTTCCAAGGGCAGATGTATCGGGGAGCGTGTCCGAAGGCGCAGGTGGTCTGGGGGGGCGGTGTACGGACGGAGTGAGTATTAAACCTGTGCCTGAAACAGTTCCTCCCCCAGTCTCGACGGCTGGGTTTAGCTGTCCACAATGTATGTTGAATCGTACAACTAGCTTCACGAGACAACCTGCAGAAACAGAGAAGGGAGGGGAAGACTTCGCGGCTCTCCTTTCGACCAGACACATCAAACTGTACTTGGTTACTGTCCACACGATTTCACAGAACTGCAGTAGATTTTTTTTTTTTTTCAAATCAGAGGGTGTGTTTCCTCCTGTCGAGACCGGCTCTTGTCCACACAAATACTGTCACTTTTCCAGGTCCACAAGGTGCCGTCCCCGTCATGTCACTGCAAGGGTTTGTGGACGAGGGAAAGGGACCCACACACCCCGTGGGCCAAGAAGGAGGTGGGTGACCAGCGCGTCCTGGGAAGCTGAGTGGAAATGGGTTAGAGGGTCGATCCCGGGCCAGCGGCTCATGTCACCCGAGGTCCCCACGCACCTGTGAAGGGTGTGGGTTAGTCGGAAATGAAAACCGAAGCAACAAAGGAAATGCTGATGAGGAAGTTTCGTTCTCGGACGTTAGAGGTCGTGTTCAGGACCAGCCTTATCTGGCTTCTCCTGGCAGCCTGGAGGCACCACAGGAACTGAAAGACACAGCGCGGTGTCTCGCCCCGGGAAGGGTTGGCCAGGGAACGCGATGCTGCTGGATTTCTGTACGCACGTGGGGGAGCCACGCAGCCCGGATAAGCAGAGAGGAGAAAGATCAATCTTCTGTCCCGACTATTGTGTCTGAGGTTTCATCCAAGAATCTCCCCTTGTGCCGTGGAAGGGCTGTCTGGTTTCAGGTTTGCTCCTCTTTGGCCTCTGACGGTACATGTTCCCAGGGCTCTGCCCTTGAGCATTGAGCTGCAGCAACTTTGTGGGTACAGGGTGAGTCTCTGGATCCTTTAACACGGTTCCTGCCATTCATTCCTGTGCAGAGTAGGCGGTGCACCAGCGCCTACACCGAGCTGCCTGGTCGCTCTCTGAGCAGGTGTGCAGACACGTCCCACCAAGAGAAAACGGTGACGTACCCACATTGGATGGCCATGTCCTGATCACCTTTCAAGATCGCCCTTGCTATTTGTCTTCTTGAATTAGGTTCTGTAAGGAAGAGGTTTTGCCGTGAAAAAGTGGGACCAAATAGGGGTAGTTGAATGTCATTAATCTTGGGGGCCCCTTTATAAATGTGGGGTCAGAGCTGTTATGTGATGCAGTAGCTGGAAGGTGACAGTGAGGACGGTGGTCCGGTGTGAGAAAGAAAGCACCGGTCTCAGAGGCCGGAGATGTCATTTAATTCACTCTCTTACCACTTATCAGCGCGACTTTGGGCCCAACTGTTCATTTGTGAAATGACCTCTTCGTTTACCAGACTATCCAATGTCCTGTTGACCTCACAGTAACAGGCTGCACTTCATAAGCTGTAGTATCATGTGCCAATAAGGTCATTATGGTGTCTATGAGGCTGACATGTTTCAAAATGTGTGACTTTGCATTTAAACGTATTGCTGTTCTCTTTATGCCCCGGCGCATTATTTCCATCTTCAGAGTTAAGCGGAGGAGACCTTGGTCCAGTCCTCTTTCTCCTCCAGTGTAATTAGGGGTTGGAAAGTTTTGCTTTATTTGGTTTTTTATCCTCACCCGAGGATATTTTTCCATTTTTTGTACAGATAGAAGGGGAGGGAGAGAGAGTGAGAAACATCGACGTGAAGGGACACATCGAGTGGCTGCCACCCGCACGACCAACCAGGGCCGGGGACAAACTGCAACCGAAGTACGTGCCCTTAGCGGGAACCGAACCCGGGTCTCTCCGGACCGCAGGCTGACGCTCTAACCGCTGAGCCAAACTGGCCAGGGCTTTTTTTTTTTTTTTTTTTTTTTATTTATTTTTTTTTTTTATCCTCCTCCGAGGACATTTTTCCATTTTTTTTTGTTCAGGTAGAGTGGGAGGGAGAGAGAGGAAGAGAGAGAGAGAGAGGGAAACATCGATGTGAAAGGGACACATCGAGTGGCTGCCACCCGCACGACCAACCAGGGCCGGGGACAAACTGCAACCGAGGTACGTGCCCTTAGCGGGAACCGAACCCGGGTCTCTCGGGACCGCAGGCAGACGCTCTAACCGCTGAGCCAAACCGGCCAGGGCTTATAAATAGTTTTATTTATTTTTTTTTAATTTTTTTTGTGGTATGTGTCCCTAGAGGGAACCGAACCCGGGAGTCTCTGGTCCACAGGCCAACGCTCAACCGCTGAGCCAAGCTGGCCAGGGCCTTTATTTGGAACTTGTCACCCACATTCTTAAAAATGGGGTTCCGTGTTTCTTGAAAGACGAAGATCCCTTGGATACTGCCAGGGGATTTTGTGCTTCCATCCCATGGGTGACTGGGTTATATTGTGACAAGGGCTACCCTTCCTACGTCAGAGCTATCCACGTATCCATGACAACATGACAACACCCTGAGGGGGCGGTACGTGAAGCGTCGCATGTCCACAGGATAACCACGTGGTACACATGGCTATTGACATCTAGGTGAATTAAAGTCAAATCAAGTGAAACATTCGGTTCCTCGGACACACCGGTACATTCCAAGGGCTCAGCAGGCAGATGGAGGTAGTGGCCCCTGGTCCCGACTGTGGACGGTAGAACACGTCTGTCACGGCAGAAGGTTCTGTTGGACAGCCCTGCGCTAAAAGAAAGGGAATCTCGGACCAGGCCATTCAGAGGTGACCAGCCTAGGTTCCGGGCATACTTTTATACCATTTTTAGGTTTCCACCCTAAAATAGCAAGCTTTAATGGCCAGTCAGGGTTCCCCACTCAGCCCTGGCTGCAAGCCCCCTTGAGGGTGTGTGATAGTCCTAAATGTTTATTTCTTTCCATTGGTTCCTTAGGTCCTGCGTGACGGACATGTGTGAATGTCCAGTCCATAAAAACTGTTACTGTGAGTCGTTCCTGGCGTATACGCGGGCCTGCCAGAGAGAGGGCATCGGCGTCCACTGGGAGCCGCAGCGGAACTGTGCAGGTGAGGGGTCCTGGGGTTCTCCATCAGAAGGCACTCTAATGCCCCAAGCAGCAATGGCCACGTGCCCCTTGGCCGAAGGGCCGTCCTGGCAGTGGCCCGACGGATTGCAACGTAATAACATGCAGGGCTCCCACGGGGGCGGGGCAGGAGGCACTGGAGAGCAACGCTTCACGAGGAGCACGTTCGAACAACGTGAGGATTTCCACTGTTACGACACCCTCGCAGCCTCAGCTACCAGCCGGATGGACTTAGCGCACGTGTGGAACAGAGCAGATTCAGGACAGTCACAGTCATTTAAGGTGTTTAGGATGCATGTGACCTTTTTTTTTTTTGAGAGAGAGAGAGATTGTGCTACAAATCCTAGCAGAATGTTCTTTACCGTCTGAGACAGATTTCTGTAATAGTAGGTATAGCCCTTTGATCTCAGGCAAGTTATCTAGCTTATTTGATACCTATGAAATGGACACATTTGCTCATCCAAGAAATACGTCCTACACAGTGGTTGAGTACAGGGCATCATGCTACATAAGCACGAAGGGTACTTGGGTCACTTTGATAACGGTGACCCTCTGTCGCTGAGGTGCTGATAGTCCAATGAGAAAACCAGACACAATCGGTAACTCTACACTAGATACTTGCTAAGTACGGTCGATGTGATGAAGGCAAGAAATAGAGCAAAGCAACAGAAAACGAGCGGAGAGGGAGGGGGTGGCATTTGGACGGTGTCGAGGGAAGGCTTTTCTCTGTGGGGTGATGTTTCAGCAGGCTCTGAAGGGTCATAGGGAGTCAGGAGGCATTCTGTGCAGGAAAAAGCCTATCTGGTGGCCATAGGGAGGAATAAAATACATGCTCTCCAACAGGAAGGGAGCCAGTGTGGGCCGGGCGTGGTGCACCAGGAAAGGGGCATTGGATGAGGGTGGGGTAGAAGCCGGAGAGGGCTTTGCAGGGCGTGGGAAGCAGTCCAGCTTTTATTCCAAGAGGAGTAGAAGCCACTGGTGGGCTTTAAGCAAACCTCTTTCTGCTTTTGCAAGATCACCCTGTGCAGAGGCTCATGTGTAGACTGGATCGGATGGGGCCCGGTTGGAAGCAGATGACCAGGCAGGAGGCTGTTGCTGTAGTCGTGGCGGAGAACAATGCTAGTACTTGGATTAAGACAGAGGCAATGTGTGGGCAGGGAAGAAGACAGTCTAGATAGATTTGGAAATTTTGCAACAATATCTTCTATGCAGAGCGGTCAGCATTAGTGCTACGTATGTGAAATTTCTGGAATTGCATCCAACTCAGAAGATGCTCAGTCAATAGTAGCTGTGGCTGATATTGAGATTTGGAGATGAGATGACTGAGTATTTGTGACTTCGCTCGGGGGCTGGCAAACGTCTTTCTGTAAAGAGCCAGATTGGCCTGGAATGAAGAGGCCCACATTACACTGGCACTAATAACCTTCGCTCGGATGTTAGGGAAGAAGACAGTCCATAGCATTGCTGACTCTGGACGTCTCCATTGGTGGAGCACAGGCCTGGCCCTCGGCTTGGAAGAGGGGTCAAGAAGAGTTGTCTGGAAGCTGTCTTTTCAGCGGATGGACATCTTGTTCCCTTGGACCAGTGGATCTCAATTTGACTGACCTTGGAGTCCCTTTGGGAGCTTCAAAACAGTAACAGCAAAACCCCAGAAAGCGATGCCTGGGCCCGGTGCCCAGATATCCCTCTTTAATTGGTCTCGTGTGTCTTTTCAAACCTCTCAGGTGGTTCTGACCTGCAGTCAGAGTTGAAACCACTGAGTTAATTTGAAGGCTTACTGGGGTGGCTTTGGGGGAGCGATTAAGACAGGTTTTCGGAGGTTACTAAAGCGTCCTCGAGCTGCCCCTTGTCGCAGTCACAAGTCTGTGTCTGCAAAGCACCAAGCCCTGTCATCTCCCCCGACTTCCCTTTTAGATTTGCTCTCTGCTCTGCAAACCCAGGTCCGATTTTCAGGTCTCAGTTCACTTTGCGCAGCAAGAGTGACTGTAGCCGTGCTGCCCACACCTCAGAGCAGTGTGGGTTTGATGAAAATAGCTCACATTCGGTGTGCTGACATCTCCTGCAGGGGAGACTGAATGGCTTAGCTCTTCCCTGACGCATCGGGGCTGGTTAGCACGGCAGGGGCGATGTCTTGGGGGACTGGGTCCCTTCAGCACACCTCGAATACTCCTCTTGAATATTCCTTCTCTATTTTGAGTCCCTCTTCCCCTGAATCCGCCAGAAAATGAATAAAATAAATGAAGTCAGGAACCATCTGCCCACCCTGGTGTGGTGCCGGGCTCAGCGGAACTTCGTTCACCGTATTAGCCGTGGTGGTGTGGTGAGACGGATCGTGTTAGACACGGAATCTGTGACCTCTTCCTGGCCCGAGCTCTGTGCAGCACCATTCCCGTGCGTGCACTGCCTCGGAAGACTGCACACTTCATGTCGGCAGCCGGGTTTCAGGAGCGGAATCTCAGGAGCTGAAATTACTTTTCTAATGGAAAAGGAATATGGATTCTGAAAGGTTTCATGTGCCGCTTACAGTTATGGAGCCATCTGAGTGAAGTATAACTCCATCCGTGTGTGGTTGCAGGGGAACCTTTTACGCGCACACACACACACACGCACACACGCACGCATACGCACACACGTGCACACATGCATGCGCATGCACGCACGCGCACACGCATGCAGACAGCACTTCCCAGATTGACAGCTGGCACGTGAGACATTTACAGAGACGTGGCATCTCTCAGTGGATTCATTTCTGATTCATCTGGAACTCTAAAGACTGTACGAATACTCTTTCCTTGCTTTTAGCTCCCAGAGAAGAGAAATGTTTCAGAGTAAAAGATGGGAAGTTGAACAAACAAGAAGTCAGCCAGGCTTGAAACCGAATGGACGTGGGACTGTCCAAGGGTAGCCCGGGGTTAGCCCTGCGCCTGCCACGCCTAAGTACATGCCCACCAGCTGTGGTGGGAAGGACCCGTGGAGCTCTGGTCTAGCATGTGAAGTGCCAAACACAGTACACCAGGCGAGGTCTATAAAAGTCAAATAATGACAATTTATAGTAATATTACAATTTTCTAAGCACATCCTTCCTCAAGGACTACACTAGCACTTTTATTACATTTTATCAGTTTAAATCCACATTGTAATCTATTTGGTGACATTCTATTACCCACATTTTACTGGTAAGGACACTGAGGCTTAGAATATTTAAATAATCTGCTGAAAGTCACAGAGCTAGAAAAGGAGGACATGGGGGAATGAAACCCTGGCCAACGTACTCTATAGCCTCTGTTTTGTTTTGTTTTTTCTTTATTGATTTGTTTAGAGAGAGAGGGGAAGGGAGAAGGAGAGAGAGGGAAACATTGAGGAGCAAGAACATTGACTGGCCACCTCCTGCATGCCCCGCACTGGGGATCGGGCCCACAACCTGGGCATGTGCCCTGACCGGGAATCGAACCCAGACCTCCTGGTACATGGGTCAACGCTCAACTACTGAGCCACACTGGCCAGACTGCCCTAGTTTTTGAAAACAATACTCAACCGAGTGAATTTCCTTAAATGCAAATATGCAGATTGAATCACACATATGTCCTAAAAATTATCATTTGCCTTTTGTAAGTTTGAAAGAAAATTGGATTCACAGAAAGGCAACCCAGGGTCCAAGTCAATATTAACTTTATGGGATCCTCTAAAAGTTGTGCCAATTTGAAGGCAAAGTCAATTATATCTTCCCATAGTAAAAACACATCTAAGACTCCCCTTTGCCAGGATTATAGCCCCTGCCTACTCGTCTGCCTTTGTCTCCTCTCCCTCCTCAAATTTCACCCCCACGCCAAGGACCCCCTTCCCCACTGCTCATGCTTGTCCACACCCCGGCTCGGCTCCGGCTCCTCCCTCTGCCTGGCGAATTCTTCCTGCCATTGTCCGATCATGTCTACTCACCTTTTAAGACTGAAGTGGGATCTAGTCTCTGGTCTTCCTTGATCCCTACCCGCCTCGACATGGAGTTGCTCTCTCTCTTTCCTCCCCTGTCCTTTGCTCCCACTGTCTGGTATGGTCCATCCTGCATTTCATTCAGAATCTGTTCCCAGGTCACCTGCACCACTGGGTTGTCAGCCCAGACTCCTGTAGCTGGAGGTCAGAGATGACAGGATTGACGTTCGATTCCCTTTCGAATTCCCAGATTCGACACAGTAGACACTTAGTAGGTGTTTATTGATTTAATTTTAATTGAAATGGAGATGATGAAAAAGATCCCTCCCCCCCAGAAGTTCTTTATTTTTTACCTGTAGATTGCGAGGGAAATACCAGTGTTCGATAGTTGAAGGTTGAGATGTCACAGGAGAACATGAGTAAGTTAAGTGGTAGAGCCAAGAAAAAGAGTCGAGAGATCAGGAGGAAATGCCCTCGGAGACGTGGTGTCTTTAATGAGGGGAAAGAGGAAATCCCGCTGAGTGTGCACACTGCAGGGACTGGGTGAGACGCGGGGGGGAGCAGAATGTCTGGAGGGTGAGCGAGCTGAGACATTCCGGGGGCAGCAGAGTGGAAAATGAACTCAGGCCGGCCGAGTGTGATCCGCAGCGGACGTGTGTGATGGATCGACCGTCATTAAGATGAAATTATCACCTGACAGGCACAAGCATTCACTAAGCTGCTCTTCTGTGCTCGGCCCTGTGCCAGAACTTTGGGTCACAGGAGACTTTTCTGCCCCCAAGAGTTCAGGTCTCCACAGTCCACTCTCTTCCACCAGGGATGCTTGGATAGTGGCCCCCAAATCTACAGATACGTGGGCCCTACTGCAGACTCACAACACAAGTCTGTGGGGTGAGACTGAGGAATATGTATCTTTTTAAAAGATACTCAGGGGACTCTTGTGAGCATCTCTGATCAGGAACTACAGCCGCACCATAATTGTGGGATTGAAACAAATAAACAACAATAATGTGGCGAGTGCTGTGGAATACAGGTCCAGGGAGCTGCTAACCTGAAGGGGGTCACATTTGAATTAAGACCTGGAAAATGATGAGCTTATGAAGAGAATCAGAACTGATGATAATGTATTTCAGAGCTCTCTGGAGATTGGAGCTGAGACTGATACCTGGTGAGAGAGAGAGAGAGAATACAAGACAATGTCGAGAGAAGCATCTTGGAGTTAATTTGCTAGGGAATAGACAAATTAGATCAAGAGAGAAAAGGTGTTCCCAAGATGTCAGCAAAAGAACCCGGAGAATTCAGTGTCGTAAGATAACATGGACAAAAAGACCAAATACTTTGTGGCGAGGTCATGGGACGGTGGGGGTTGCCACCCGTCAGTGGATTTGGTCATGACTGAAAATGTGGGTGGAACCGGTTCAGTGAAGTGGTGAGAAAGACGGGTCACCAATGCCAATTCCTTGCAGAGGAATTGGATAAAATGACCATAGCCTCTCCTATGAAGTTTGGAGGTAAAAGAAAGAAGAAAGTAAGTCTGATAGATTCAGGAATATCTTTCTTTTTTAATTGTTGAAAATATTACAGATGTACCCTTCCCCCCCACCCCCATTGACCCCTCCTTCCTGCTCCCACCCCCTCCTGCCTTCCCCAGCTTAGGGTCCGTGTCGATTGGTTGTGCATATATGCATATAAGATCCTTGGTTCATCTCCTCCCACCCCTCCCTCCCCACTCCCTCTGAGGTCTGACAGTCTGTTCCCTACTTCCATGGTTCTGGGTCTCTTCTGGTCGACAGCTTATTTTATTCATTATATTCCACAAATAAGTGAGACCATGTGGTTTTGTCTTCCTCTGACTGGCTTATTTCACTTAGGATAATACTCTCCAGGTCCCTCCGTGTCATCTCAAAGGGTAAGAGATCTCTCTTTCTTACAGCTGCATAGTGTTCTCTTAGGGAATATCTTTTGTTAAAGATGAGTGTTGATATGAACATATTTCTAATATTTAAAGGGTGGAGCCAACACAGAGAAGGAGAAGATGAATGTTCAGTGAGAACAAATAATAAAGCAAGTTCCTGGAGGAGATGGGTCTGAAAACAGGACCAGCAAATCAAGGATGGGTGCAAAGGAAGACAGGCCGTAGGGAGATGCGCTAAGGGTGCACGAGCAGACGACCCAACTCCATCCAGAGGACTAGCGCTCTGGCACGTGGGGAGAGCTCGCATAGGTTTAGGTGGAAGATTCTGGAAAACAGTAGGAGCTGCCACTGTGCACCTCCTCCCACTTCGAAAGGAATCGCTGCCTCTCATTTGCTAGAAATGCACGAGTCTCTGCAGTGACTGAAGCATGACCGTGAGGCTGTTATTAGGACCAGTTCTCGATCCCGACTGCACATTAAAATCACCTGTGCTGGGAAGGCCTTTTTTTAGTTACTGGTAACTTGGTTCCACCTTTAACAGTTCTAGATTAATCGGTCGAGGGTGAGGTCCAGGCATCAGGAAGCTCCCCGGTAACACTAATTTCCAGCTTCGAACACCATTGGGTCATACAAACATAACAGTGCGTTATGCAGTTATGAGTGTGAAGATGATATTCAACTAGAACATCCCCAGAGTATCAGGCCTGTGAGGGTATCGTCACAGAAAAGAGAAAAAGAGAAGAATTCTGAAGGGATCAGTGAAAAGTGAAAAGGTGATCAGGAAAGCACAAATGGAGAGATTTAAAGGAAGAGTAAGGTTGATTCGCACATGCACTTGATCATGTATCTGTAAACCCAATCACCCAGCAGCCCTCTGGGTACCTCCTACACACATGTGCAACGCCACACTGCTACTAAAAATGAAGAAACAGACAGGCTTTGCTAGGTTTAGTTGCAGTGGAAAGAGAGAGGACAGGGAGACCGGTTGCTATCACTTCCTGTTGTAAATGCAGAGACAGAGGCGGGCAGCAGGTGCTCTGAGTAGGCAGTAGAGGGGCCTCTCATCCAGCAAGAGAGGTGGCAGAGAAGGGAGGGGACGGAGTCTAAATGAGAGGAAGCTGGGATGGACTCTGGTGACCACACTAGACTATGGCACTGGATCAACGCCGAGGACAGGTCTCCAGGATTGGCTGGGCGACCAGAGGCTCCTAGTAGCCTAAGGAATAGAATAGAATTATGAAAAGCCAGAACAACCGAATAAAGCTACATTGGGGCACACCTGATTTCCCCCTACTTGGCTTTGCTCTTTTATAAAATGTTATTTTCAGTGACAGTTTACACGCAGTGTTATTTTGTATTAGTTTCCATTGGACAGCCTGGGGGTTAGACAATCATACTTTAAAGTGATCCTCCCAATACTTCAGGTACCCACCTGGCACCACACATAATGATTACAATATTATTGACTATATTCTCTATGCTATCATTTACATCCCCTGGGTTATTTTCTAACTACCAATTCGTACTTCTTAATTCCTTCACTTTTTTTCACCCAGCTCCCAAACCCCTCCACTCTGACAACTCTGTCTATTCTCTGTATCTATGAAGCTGTTTCTGTTCTTTTGTTTGTTTATTTTGCTTTTTAGATCCCATACATAAGTGAAATCATATGGTATTTGTCTTTGTCTTACTTATTTCACTTAGCATAATACCCTCTAGGTCCATCCATGCTGCCACACATAGAAAAATTTCATTCTTTTTTATGGTGGAGTAATATTGCATTGTATATATTTACCACAGTTTTTTAACCTGCTCATCTATTGATGGGCACTTGGGTTGCTTTCATATCTTGGCTTTTGTACATAATGTTGCACTGAACATAGAGGTGCATATATCCCTTCAAATTAGTGTTTTAGTTTTCTTCAGATATGTACTGAGAAGTGGAATCACTGGTCATAAAACAGTTGGATTTTCACTATTTTTAGGAACTGCCATACTATTTTCCATAGTGGCTGCACCATCTGCATTCCTACCAACAATGCACAGGGTTCCCTTCCCCACCTCCTCACCAACACTTGTTGCTTGTTGATGACAGCCATTCTGATATGTGTGAGGTGATGCCTCACTGTGGTTTTGACTCGGATTTCCCTGATGATTAGTGATGCTGAGCATCTTTGCATGTCTATTGGCCATCTGTATGTCCTCTTTGGGGAAGTGTCTATTCAGGTCCTCTGCCCATGTTTTAATAAGATTGTTTGCTCTTTTGGTGTTGAGTTGTATGAGTTCTTTATAAATTTTGGACATTAATCTTGTTACTGGGATTATTTGGCTTTATTCTTGCTCTGACTTGCTTCGAATTGATTAATTCAACACATAATTAAAATACGATTAAAATATGTAACACCTTTCCAATGTCCAATGTAGTTTTTTCCCTGTATGTGTAATGGTGTCTATCTGAATATTGGTGTGGTTGCACAAAATGTTCCTATTCATCATAGTACAGTTGCTTAAAGGACTCTTCGGAGTTCATTTTTCACGCTCTTATCAATAACCAGATAACCTTATAGATTTTCTTGTAGCTTTACTAACGCACAGGCTGTCTTATCTGGGATTAAAGCGCTTTCATTTTACTTTGTTTTGAAGTTCCGCGGCCAGCAGGCGGACCTTTGGTGTTATTCTCCAGGAGCAGGTGACTCCCAGTGCTTTCGGAATGTTGGGTGTTCAGTAAGCCTCTGTTAAGACGCAGCAGCAAACCTGTGCTGTGCAGAGGCCTGTGCAGTGAGGACAGGAGCCTGCAGAATGGCCTCAGGCTGGGGGTGAGTTAACGAGGCCGTTTCTCCGCATCTCACCTGTGTCTCTTCCTTTTTTCCAGCCACCCAGTGTAAGCACGGGGCTGTGTACGACACCTGTGGTCCGGGATGTGTCAAGACCTGTGACAACTGGAATGAGATTGGCCCATGCAATAAGCCGTGCATCGCAGGCTGCCACTGTCCGGCCAACCTGGTCCTTCACAGGGGAAGGTGCATCAAGCCAGTCCTTTGTCCTCAGCGGTGACCTTTGGTCAGCAGCTTAAGACTTGGGAACCTGGTGTCCTCGACACTGAAGTGAAGAGCCAGTGGAGGACTGCAGTATTTGTGTGCCGATCCTGCAGACACACAGAGTATATATGTGTACATATAGAGATATATAGATCTATGCAGAAGCATTTCATCATTTATATAAACTACAGGTGGATTATTATATGTATATTTTTTGCTATAAGACGTGTATTATTTCTAGAACCCTAAACTGTAAGCCAGTGGATACATTGTCTAAATAAACCAGGTGCTTTTTAATTTAATAAGGCAGCATGCAGACATATCGGATGGCTTTGACATCATAGACATCGCCCTTTTTAAGGACGTTTTTCTAAAAAACCTAAATTGCCTGCCTGCATTAATTTGAGCTTTGAATCAGGATTTGCAGTTGAGTGAGAAATGTGTTTCTCTGGAGAAGGGCACATTTATCTAGGGGTGTTTCATGGTCCCAAAGAGAGACATGTATGCCTGAGGGACATCACTGGTGATTGGTGACAGGCCCAAATGGCGCGTGCAAAGCAAGACGTAGGTTAGACTTGATTGGGTCATGGGCTGATATTAGTTCCCAAAATGATTGGCAGGTTGCCAAGAAATATATATTTGTTACTAGAGCACAGCCAAAGAATCAAATGGTTTCTTACCGTCTTTGTATGTTCCTCGAGTCTCCTCATTACACATGTGTGTGTGACGGCTGTATCCACTCATACGTCACCTACAGGGATTAAGGAGTGTCAGAGTGACATGTTAGTTTTATTGAGCATGAGCAGATATTTGGAGAAACCGTTGCACAGCCTGTGGGAAAAAATATCATTTCTCTGAATCTCGGAGCAATTTAGGATGGGCAAGCCCAATGAGTCGATGTGAGCCATCTCCATTTTGTGACTCTTCCCATTTATACAATGAAAGCCTTTTTCGATTTCTAGAGGATCCCCAGTTCGGAGCTGCCTGGTGACTGTCACTACATCCTAACTATTAGAAAGGACCCCTTGACTGGCCAGTTGATCGAACATTAGTCCAGACGAGGAATGGTCTCCATACTTGCTGTGCTAGCCGGGCAGGTTACTGTTAGTCACCACGTGATCTTCCTGACTTGTCTTCAGCTGAACAAGTGAAAATGTCAACAAAACCAAACCCACCAATGTCTAAAAGTAAGATGTTCTGCGTTGTAGTAAATAAAGGGCTTAAGATGTAAAACCACACATTTTCTATTTCAAGATGCGCTGCGTTGTGCTTTATAAATGAGCTATACCAACGTCAGCTTCATCGATCTGTAACAGCTCTGTTAATATATATTTCATATGCCCTCTAATACATTATAAAGAATATTATTAACAGGTAACAGCAAAGTCCCAAATTTTTGAGTGTCGGCATATTGCCATCATGTGTTAAGACACTTGTGTTTAGCATATATTCATGGCAGCTAAGGGATGTAGTCGGAGTTTCACCGGGACACGTCTAAGGGCTTGAACAAACGGAATAAAGCGCGCACTGTGACCGTGACTGGCCGAGGAACCAGGGCGTGTGGGTGTCATTGCTGGGCTAGAGACCTAACACCCTGTATCTGGAAGCATTGCTGTGGGGGGAAGGAGAGCTGGGACTTAAGAGACAGGTCCAGGTGGAGTTTGTGACCTTGTCCATGTTGTGGAAGGATTTGGAGTCCCTCTTATGCTTATCTTTTATCTGTTACACAAAGAGGCAGTGCCCGGGCAGGGAAGAATCAGGCAATCTATGCCTGACCGGTGTGGCTCAGTGGATGGAACGTCGTCCCATGGACTGAAGGTCCTGGTTTGATTCCCTGTCAGGGCACATGTCCCGTTGCAGGCTTGTCCCCAGCAGGGGGCGTGCGGGAGGCAGCTGATCTATGTTTCTCTCTTACATCGATGTTTCTCTCGCTCTCTCCCTTCTTCTCTCTCTAAAAACATCACTAATAATAAAAAAAGAATCAGGCAGTCTAGACCCCCTGTGTACAATAATCTGCGACACATTGGCCGTCACTTACACACGTGTAATCGCATCGATTCCCCACACTGTACTGAAAGGAGGGAGAGGCCGGATCAGTTGACCTGCCCTGTTTGTTTGTTTTATCCCTTTGCAGTATCTTTACATTCCCTTCCGGTCCAGTCTTTACGAAAGAGGACTGCAGAGGAAAACGATGCGACAGGGAACTGTGGGTGGTGACTGACTGCTCATGACTCCTCCGAGGACGGAGTAACCGTGCCCAGGGAGACTCAGTAGCCTCTTTTCCGACCCTGTCAATCACGGCCCACTATGGGGATGGTCACCTTCATGATTTGAGTGCCTTGATCACAGGGTTTGTGGCATACCTTTTCTGGGGTGTAGTGTAACCTTCGAACATTTTTTCATGCCTGATCATAGAAGAAAGAAAGAAAGAAGACCAGGGAGTTTGGGCCTGCTGATCCAAACAGCTGTCCGCTGAGGGAGGGCGGGGGAATCAGCTCAATAGCCCGTTCGCGGTTGCTGTCATTGGCCATGAGCTATAGCTGAGCAATGATTTCTAAGGATCAATCATAGTGGAGATTTACCAAGTGCTTCAGCGACAGTGGTCTCACTTGATTCACGTGGGGTATTTTCATGGCTTCTCAAAGCCAAACTCCTGCAGAGGTAGATGACTTGAAATGAAAATGTTCTGTTTCTCTCATTAATGCACATAACCCAGGTTAGCAATTAGTGTGGGGTCCGCGACACCTATAAAATCAGTAGATGGGGTAATATTGCTCTGTGTGTGTAGAATCCCTATGTTGATTACGCTGTTAGCACTGAGTATTGAATGTGATGAGGGCAAACACCCGGGGTGAAAAACAGACACTATTCTGATTCTCATTACATGTGGTGCTCAGGAAAAGTAAGTTCTTTCCTTTCTTCCTGTGAAAATAGGAATGTTTTTCTTTTTTCTTTTTTTTTTTTTTTTTTGCTCTCAGTTGCCATGTCTTTTCAGCTTTCTTTTTATTTTATTTTATTAATTAAATTATTTTTGTTACAGTTGTTTCTCCCTTTTCCCCCACCCCACGCCCACACCCCTGAATTAAAAGTTTTTAAAAAAATTGATTTTAGAGCGAGAGGAAGGGAGAGGGAGAGAGAGAAACATCAATGTTAGAGAGCAACATCGATCGGTTGTCTCCTGCTGGCACCCTGATGGGGGATTGAACTCACAACCTGGGTATGTGCCCTGACCAGGACTCGAACCCCAGCCCTTCAGTACATGGGACGACACTCTGACCAGCTGAGCCGCACCAGCCAGGTTTGAAGTCTTGAAGTAGGAAGAAGAACGAGCCCTTGGCATTGACAACAGCGGTTACCTATTAAAAGGGTGGCACATTGAAAATCACCAGCCCTGCAGGTCAAAGTCTCTCCCCGCAAGCCCGTCGCATGTGTCCTGAGCATCGCCCACCAGCCTTGAAAGGCCTCCCAACGAAACGAGCAGGACCCGGGACTGTCCCTCCACTTCACTGAACACGGATGGACCGTTTTGACGGGAACACCCTTTCTTACTCTGAAATAGTTCAGACGTACAGAAAGGGATGGAGAACGGTGTTGCCAACACCCACGAGGACAGCACCCGCAGGAAGAACAACCACCTGAGGAGCAGTCTGCACACTTGCCTCGCGGACGTGAACTCTAACCGACGCGGGGCTGCGACAGCCCGGCGGGGAGCGGGGGCCGGCTGCGTCCCTGTTCCCTGCAAGGCTGTGCGTCACTGGCTTCTGGGGATCTGACAAGCGTCAGGTGCGAGCGGAGCTACTGGCGTGGGAGGAGGAGATTGCCGTTTGGGGGTGGGGGGGGACGGCGCCAAGATGTTTTAATCAGCTGTCTCCTGCGAACCTAACCCTCGGGAACAAGCAAAAATTGTCTCTCATTCTAAATCCTGACGTACAAGCCTTTTCAGAGGCCAGGACTTTCATTCTGAAAAATGACAATGTCCAAGGGACCAAGAATGAGTGAGTACACAGGGAAAAAGAAATCCGAAATTAAGACCCAGACACGGAGTCCTCTGAGGGGACCGTCCGGGCCTGGGAGCCCTGTTGCTCTGTGGGACTGAATGAGCCCGACTGGATGACCAACACTTGTGTGGATCCGTCTTCACCGGGGTTCTGCCCGAGTTCTTGGAGGAAGCCAGCTCTGGAAAGATGGATGCAGGGCAGAGGGTTAGAGGTTTACGTGCGCCTCGAGGGACAATTGCGAGTGAGCCTGGCCAAGCAAAGTGGGCAAGGTGTTCCAGGGGGGCGCTATCGTTTCGGGAGATACTTCCCAAAGTGGTGTGTGCCGTGGTGCATTCGGAAAATAACGTGTGTCTGGTGCTGGGGTAAACAGACAGGGCTGCCAAGCCACCTGTCACCTGTTCCCCACACAGCTCCCAGTGGGCGGCGCTGGGGGCAGCTCTGCTCCAGGGCAGACCAGGTGTGGGACGTGCTGAGCAGAGGAGAGACGTGAGCGGCATCTCAGCAAGTGGAGTGGAGGTGATGTTTTCAGTCAAGGAGCAGGTGGGGGGCCCCTGAGACAGTGCAGGTGAGAGACCAGGAGCCCCAACACTAGGAGGTGCAAAGGGGAGAACTTGTGACAGATTGGGTGGGGAGGGGCAAGTGTCAGCTGGAATGAGGTGCCAGTCTGTCTCACAAAGAACCCTGGCAGGGAGCAGAGTTATGGAAATTCCTAGCGGAAACCCAGCGCTTTCTCTAGGCTGTGTTCCGTTCCCTTCAACAGCCACCCCAGCCTTAGCACTGAGACGGTCCTTCAGACAGGCAGAGTCCGGATGGACGACTTGTAAACCAGGGAGCACGCGGCTGATGGGGAGTCCCAGGAAGTCCGGTTTGGGGTTTTCTGTGGGGCATGTCACAGAGGCTTGTCAGGGAAGGTGAGTCCTGAGATGAGCCTTACTAGGCTGAATAGGTTCTACCTATGCAAAGACCGGGTGTGCATGCGTGTGTGTGTGTGTGTGTATGGGGGGGAGAGAGAGAGAGAGAGAAAGAGAGAGAGCAGGGATGCTGCAGTCTGGGAGGTTAAGGTGTGAGTCACTACGTGGATGAGAAGACAGACAAGGAACAAGCAGACTGGGGTGCGGA